TATGTATATGTATATGTATTATGTATATGTTTATGTATTATGTATTAGTATATGTATATGTGTGTATATATACATATATGTATGTATGTATGTATATATATATATATGGTCAAGCATCTGGCGTTCCCAGCCCCCCCCCCCTCCCAATGGTATGGTCTGGTAGGCGTGGGGGGGGGGGGAGCTGGCGTGTGCGGAGAGGGGTCAAAAAGGGACCACACACCCCACCCCACAGGGGGGCAGGGGGCATCCTGGACCAGGCGGGGAGGGGGGAGCGGAGGGGCTGACCAAATATCCGCGTGTGTGTGTGTGTGTGTGCGCAGGTGTATACATATCTCTATCTGCTTACCTATCTACCTATCTGTCTGTCTATGTATGTATATGTATATATATATATAATAGATAGAAAAAGACAAAGCTGATACAGATACGGGTGTTGGTGTGCAGATGGCTATAGATACAGGTTTAAATCTAGATGCACACATGAAATCCGATAGATAAACAACATAATTACTTGTGGAGAGAAACAAGAAATTCAAAGATGTAGATCAACCTCACAAGCAGACTTCTTCGAAAGACTGACCGCGCACCCGAACTCCACAATGTCCCCGTTACCTTCGGAGGTCTCTCTACCTTTTTTCCGGAACCATGTGAGACTGGCCTGCATGAGCAGCCCAGCACCTGTTTTCCAATCCACCCGCTCTCGAGCCGATGTTTCCGGACGGGTTTAGGGTTTAGGGTAGCGAGTGATGCTGGGGACCGGGCTGCTGTGCACGAGGCCTGCTGCAAAAGGGTTTAGGGTGCTTCTCTTGTTGCCTGCTAAACATCTTTGACGGGGGGGTCCTGCGAACGCTGAGGCGGGGTGGGCAATCAAGGAAGGCAAAGCAGAGAACGGATGCCCACAAACTGGAATGCATGCAAGTTCCAACTGTCCACAGCTTCTTAGGAAGTCTGTAACGAAGCATAAAAGGCAGGGATCTTCTCAAAACACGGGCGGCCAGGAACCATGTTGGTGTTTGTACCTTCTTGAATGAGACACCGCATGTTGCATGAGAGATCCCGGGTAGGCCACCAGCCTTCTGCAATCGCTGTAAACAGCGTTCGTTTCATTTTCAGCTGCTTTGGGCCGTCATCTACACACAAGGGCAGTCAAAGGTTGAGAATCTTGTGTCTTCGTCAGCTGCTACTACTGCTACTACTACCACCACCACCACTACTACGACGACGACTACTACTGCTGCTGCTATTGCTATTGCTACGGCTACTGCTACTGCTGCTGCTGCAACACCCGCAGAAAGTCGAAGCTGTTTTGAGTTTTGTGCATGATCCTGGCAACCCTTTGACTTCCCTCTCTTGCCAGGCCCACAGCAAATTATTAACGATGGCCGGCTTGAACATGCCCGGGAAATGAACATCGCCGCACACACCGCGGGGCAAAAGCGCTGGGCATCTCCCAAATGAAGGATGAGGGTTTCTTGTGGCTAGAAATGCATTTGGGGTTTTTGGGGTTTATTGTTTAGGGTTCAGGGTTTCGACTCACACACTCGCACAAGGCTGGCATGGAGTTCGTAGGTCTGGGTTCAGGGTCTTTAGGGTTTAGGGTCTACGACGACTACCGCTGCCACGACGACTACCACGATCACCTCCGCCAGTACCATTCGACGACGAGACGACGACTCAAAGACGGCAACGAGGATGACGATGCCGGCAGCGGTGGCGGATGATGCGGCTGCTGCTGCTACGACGACGACGACTACTTCTACTCTGGCTCCAGCTGAAGAGTGGTCATGCTGTGGGCCGACAAGATTTTGGATTGCATCCCTATTCTGTTATACCCTGCATCCTGCTTAGGAGCATGCCAGCTCAGACGGCTGCTACTCTCTTAGCAGCAAGCAGCATGGCACACAGTGCGGCGGCGCTAAGAGCAAGACGTAGTTATCCCTGAATATTGCCTACCTTGCGGCAACCAGAAGACAAACCTCTACCCAAAGCCAAAACTTCAGCTCCCGACGCCTTCGGCGACAGCGGCAGGCGTTTTAGTGGGATAGCCGATTTACATGCCAGCTAGCAGATAGCTGCAAAGCTGCCCTAGATACGCTCATCACTTCTTCTCCTTCTCCTCCTTCTTCTCCTGCACGCAGACATCTTCATCGGAGATTGCCAGTCCCTCCCAATGTTTCCCAAGCCTTGATCCAAAATCCAAGATTCTGCTGTAACCCGGGCCCAAACCCCAAACCGAACCCTCGACCAGTTGAGAAGCAGCAGAGAAGATAATGGTTTAGGGACTAGGGTTTCGACTCTCACACTCGCACCAGGCAGGCAAGGAAGGGTTTGGGGTTTTGGGTTTAGGGGTTTAGGATTTAGGATGCTTCGCTCTTCAAGAACATGTTGCCTGCACAATCCGTTACCCTCCACGTACTTACTTGTATCTATACTGGGGTACTTGTACATGTATACGTAGTGCACATAAGGATCACGTACTTGTGAAGAGACCGCAGGCCTCAGCCGTTCTGACTTCGCAAACTTTGCCCCCACCACCCACCACGGCCCACTACCCCTAAACCCTAAACCCTGAACTCAACTCCGTGGGGTTCCCCGATCTTCAGGAAGTCCGCTAGGCGAAGCAGTGCGTCCAAGCCGAAGATGGAAGTACCACTTGCTCAGGTTAGTACCACCGCCATCGATATCAACCATGCTTGAAGTGCGGGTGGTGCTCATCGCCGAAGAAGCAGCAGGAGTCGCACTATTCGTACGCAACAGTTTAAGTTCAAGACAGCTATATAATAGCACATTGCTTGGCTCACATATTTATTGCTCTTGCTTTTACCATGAAAGCTTGCTCATGTTGCTTTGTGTTACTGTTGCTTACGATTCTAGCTGTTGTGGTGATAAAAAAAGTTTATTGTCAGAACGGCTAATCTCAGGGCCTGAATTATTAGAAAAGGTTTGTGGGCCTACGAAAACATTCATATATGCGGACTCCAAGCGATGAGCTACAGAATATGACCACAGGTTTTATGAGGCTCCTTGAGGGTGGTTTAGGGTTTAGGGTGGGTTATCCTCTTTGGGGATTGGGACGACCGGCCCCTCCCCCTCCAGGCGCCTCCTCCTCTGGCTTGGAGCTGGACTCCTCGCTGGCAGATCCTTGCCTGGGTGCCACCCTCGCCCGACCTACCTTTCCTGCGGTAATACCCAGAATGTGACAAAACAGATAGAGCTTCGTGTAGGCTGGTTTCCAGTATCTTTTCCGCGTCTTCCACTGGTTTCGTGTCGGCTCTAGGGTTCAAAAAAATAGATAGAGATAGATAGATATGTGCGTGTACATGCATATTATGTGAATGTGTAGGCACATGCGTATGGATCACCTGTACGTCTGCATTGGTTGCACATGCATGCATGCACCCATGCATGCACTACAGGCAAGCACATGTTTGCCTGTGCAAACATACATACCTACATCCCTGCATGCATGCATGCATGCATGCATGCATGCATGCATGCATGCATGCAGACCGACCGACCGACAGACAGACAGGCAGACATTTACAGAATGAAGTACCTGTATATATATATATATACACATACATATAAATACACATATACATATAGATAATATAGATGTACATACGCATTTACATTTACATGCACATACACATGTACATATGCATATACACATACATATACAGACATGTAGTTATCCCGATATGTAGGTATACACACACACATATATATATATATGTCTATATACACAAACAGAGAGAAAGAGACAGATATACAGATATGGGTATAGGGCCGAATATAGATATACATAGAGATGCAGAAATACATTTAAAAAACAAACACAGATATAGATGTAAAGATAGAGATGTACATGCACATGTGCAGGTACCAGTATGTGTTCATGTGTGGTGATACTTCGAAAGCCAGCAAAAGAAGGCAAAAGTAAAGTAACAAGAAGTTGAGCACTCAAATGAGTTAAGAGAGCTACGTAAGTCAGTCCGGCTAGTTGAATAAGTTAAGTCGGAAAAATGAAGCAAGTAAGCAAGTAAGTCAGTCAGCCAGTCAGTCAGTAAGTAAGCATGCAAGCATGCAAGCAAGCAAGCAAGCAAGCAAGCAAGTACGTCAGTACGAAACCCAGCAAGAAAGCAAGTAAATGAAGGAAGAGCAGGCCTTTCGCCGCGCCCGTGCTAAAACTGTTACGGCGGCTAGCAGCCAGTGTACTGTAGTGCCCACTCTCGCCTGACCGGCCTTCCCTAAGCAGGCCCCTGGCTTGCGCTACACCAGGAGCGCGGCTGGTAAGCCTGCTGCGTGACCTTCCAGACCTTTTCCTGGAGCTCCTCGCATTCAGACGGAATCAAAACAATAAGTATCGTATGGCATGGTATAGCATAGCATAGGATGACAGAATCAATCTAGCATAAACCTGCCCCAGCTCAGATTCTGTGTCTGGCAGCATCCATAATAATTACTTTGGTTCGTGAAGGACCAAGAAGCCCTAGCGGCGCGAACTTCAACTATTGGCAGGTGGTCCTTGGTCTTCTGCTTCACGTCATCCAGGTCGGCATCGTCGTTCGCGAGGCACGCCCGGAGATCCTCTGCAGGGTTTTTTTTTCGCATTTCGGTCCTAGGGATCGGGATCTAAGTTCCGGGTTTTTAGTTTTCACGCTTAGGGCTTCGTGCTTCAAGGGGATTACCACAAGTGACGAGGTGACTTAGCAAGCAGGATGAAGTCAGACAACCCGACCTGGGGCTTCTGATAATGCGACAAGGGACCGAAGACTCAGTTGAGATACTCTTGGAGAGTCCTGTCCAAGTGAACCGATTTGTCGGGATTGAGCACCAACTTCGTGAGCATAGCTGCAGTGTAACAGTCTATCTACATGCCCAAGCCGAAACCCTAGTCCCTAAGCCCAAAAACCCCTAGAAGCCCATATGCCTAAACCCAAAATCCCCTACTAAACCCTGGGTAACGAAAACAGGGAAGGGCTGAGGGCATCGGCGCAACCCTCGGACCTCCGTGAGCTTCTTCAGCTCATCCGCATCGGCAGTGCTCATCCTTAAGGGCGCATATGATATGACTTTATATAACCATATAGTACTTCATGACACTCTCTATTTATTTATATGTGCGTATATATATATATGTGTGTGTGTGTGTATATATATATATAGAGAGAGAGAGAGAGAGAGAGAGAGAGAGAGCCATAAAAAAATACCAACAAGTAGCATTTATGTTTTCAGAAGTCCGAAACCACTGGTGAAAAAGAGAATTCACCCAGGCATTCAAGGCACTTGTCTTTGAGGTCCGTCTGCTGCTTCTCTGCCTCGCCACCACGGGACACAAGCAAGTTGCTCTTTGCCGTAAGCCCGCCCTGTCCCCAACAAGCAATGAGCTGGCAGCAAGCATGAGCTGTTCAGGAACTTAGTTTAAGCTACCACTGTGAGAGATAAATACACATATAATATTATATTACATTATATATATATGTATATATATATATATACATATATATATATATAACACTAACCGGGAGTCCTTACTATGGTAACCTAGTTTAAGTTCCTTAACAGCAACCCCGAGAGCCTGGTAGGCGAGAGTCTCGGCCTCATTCTTCGCCTGCACGGTGTCCTGGCCGTCTCAGACTCCGTGGGGCTTCTTGGGAGTGAGGATTAGGGTTTAGGGTTTAGGGTTTAGGGTTAGGGGGACCCTGGGGGATATAGACCCTCTCAATAAGGTCCCCTTAGCTACGAGTAGGGCTCAGAAGGGTCCCCTTTAAGGGGTCTCCCTAATACTACCTAGGGCTTCTGGCCAAGCTCAGAGCGGCCCCGGAAGGCCCAAGCTAAAGCCCTGTGGCCCTGTCTCTACAGCCTACCTAGGCCCTACATCCGAAACCCTAAACCTGAGGCCTCGGTAACGTAGGGGCCTGCATAGTTAGAATAGGGCTTTGGGGCCCATGAGACTATAAATATAGTAAGGAACCCCCCCAAAATAGTATTGGTAAGTATTTGGGCCCCTACAGTAGTTGGACTTCTAAACCTGAAGAGTCTGCAGCTGGGGGACAAGATCAGCCAAGCAATCTCATAAAGACGACACGTGCAGCTGCGACCAAAATCAGAGATCGGTGCACTGCCGGGCTAGTGGAACATGATAGAACAGCTTGCTGAAAAGCCCTGTCCCCCCCCCCCAATACTTCCAGATTATTTCGAGCCGGGGTAAGTCCGGGCCTAGGTAGGGCTCAGGTCCAAGATCGGCTTGGGGACATGTCGATGCGACGCTTACAAGAAGGGCCACGAGGGAAAGTAGGACAGCTCGTCGGGCCTACAATGCCCACAAACCACCAAATATAAATATATATATATATACATACATACATACATACATACATACATACATACATACATACATACATATATATATATATGCACATACATGAACAAATAAATAAATAAATAAATAAATATATATGTGTAAATAAACAAATAAATCAAAAAAAGTAATAATATTATAAATATATATGTACACACACACACATATATATATATATATTTTTATATGTATATTTTTTTTATATTATATATAAGGCCTTCTTCCTCTGGTCGGCTTCTCGCATCTGCTCGGCTTCTTGGACCATGCGTTCCACCTGAAGCCACAGCGCCCACACAAGCGGGAGCCTGGTGCCCACCCCAAATTTGTTGACTTTGTGGGATTTCGGGTTTAGGGGTTTAGGGTTTAGGGGTTTAAGGTTTCGGGAAGTATGATAAGTCGTATGTCGTATGTATGTGTATGGGTCTAAGTGAAGTGTGGCATCAGAGCTCAGCACCAGGAAGCTCCTCTCAGCATCACCAAGACCTGGTAAAATCCACGACGCGCTGCTTCAGGCACTTCTATAACAAAAAAACCCGCCCAAGAATCCTAGAGAACCCCTTGTAAAAAGCCTATGGAGGCTCCTCAAGAACCTAGAAACCCTCTGAAACCCTTTGGAGGCACTACAAAACCGTCAGCAATCCTTTTTTCTACACCCCCCTCAACCCTCAACCCTAAACTCTAAACCGTCTAAGACCCCGAGAATCACCAAAAAAAAGCCGCGGCGGTGACCTCGGAGTCTGAGAGGCCGCCGCTGGACCGGATGGTAATGGCCTGCAACAGCCACTGCAAGGGGAGGGCTCAGGGTTTTTTTCCCTCTCGCATGGCTAAGGATCAATGCCCACAAGCGAGGAAACATTGAGGAATCGAAAGACTGTGCACTAGGGGATAAAGATCAGCCATCCGCAACTACGATGCAAACTAGGACCCTCGGGGTGCAAAAGGCAGTGACCTCTACCACCATCAACCAACATGTCACGGACTCTCACCTAGAACGCTCAGGGTTTAGGGTTTTGTGTTTCGGGTTTAGGGTTTAGGGGTTAAGGGTTTAGGGGTTTCGGGTTTAGGGTTTCGGGTTTGGGGTTTAGGCTTCAGGGTTTAGGGTTTAGGGTTTCGACTCTCACACTCGCACTAGGCAGTTTCGGGTTTTACGCTCTCAACTCGGACAAGCCAGGCGAAGTTGATGGTGCGCAGTCGGAGTGATACAGTTTCGGGTTTTAGGGGTTCGGGTTTGGGGTTCCGGGGTTGACGGTTTCGGGTTTAGGGGCTTTTTTTTGTCAGGCGTCAGGATGTTCTTTCACGCCCTGGGTTCATAAGCTTGAGGGATGTCTAAGCGCTTTCGGGTCTAGCGCCGAAGGATGTTTAGATACGTTGAGGGATTGGCCGCCTGGCGGACCAAGTCGCACCGCAGGGACGGGTCTAGGGTTTAGGTGTGTTTAGGTCTTCTGCGGCCCTGGGACTGGTAAGGCTCCCATCCAGATGGCTACATCCCAGAAGACCTCCAAGCAAAAGGGGGTGCAACCCGAGTCCGAGACACAGAGGTCAGGGCCGGCCTGCTTCTTGCCCGTTCCCTTGTCAGACGCACTGACATTCACAATGCCGTTCGCGTCGATATCAAAGGCCACCTCTCCACGGGCCGAGGCTGATTGAGACTGATTGGGACACCAAGCGAGGGGCGCCCAAAAGACTCACACGTGAACTCGGAAGCCGGTCCACCCCTGGCTGCTATCGCAAAACACATAGTCGCAGTGGCCTCGATCTGGGGCACCCCCCGAGGTGCTGGGGGGATGCCGACCAGGTCGAACCTCGCGAAACTTGTGGGTTGTTTGGGGCCTTCTTTTTCGGATGTCCCTTTCTGGAGGGCTTGGCATTTAGGGGTGTAGGGTTTAGGTTTACGCGATTTTTAAAGTTTACGGCGTGATGCCGCCCACGGGCTCTGGTCGTGCCAACCTTGACGCCTCAGTGCTGGTGTGACAGCTAAACCTCGGAAGCTCGCCTCCAAAAGGTTAAAGGCTTGAGGGTTTAGGGTTTAGGGTTTAGGGGTTTAGGGTTTCGGGGTTTAGGGTTTAGGGTTTCGGGGTTTAGGGTTTCGGGTTTCGGGGTTTTGGGGTTTTGCGGTTTAGGATATCTCAAATCTCATCAGCTCTCTGACGGCATGCGAGCTCGGATTTTTCAGTTTCTCTAAGCTGGGCCTTGCAACTACCATCGAAGGCTTTGTGAGGTTCACTTGGGCGTCAAAGATTTGAGAGTGGCCGGAAGTCCCTGATTTCTTCCGGTCAGCAGCTTCCGGATCGCCACCCGAACTCTTAATGTAGTTGTGGTTACAACAGCACGTGTTGCTACACCAAAAATCTGTAGTATCACGACTGTTAACAGATTCCTGTTGCTGCTCTCACTGTGTAATCTCTACGAATACTAGGCTGGTTACTAGTACTCTCTTGACGGCGCGATAATTGCTACTTTCAGTGTCCTTCTTGCGTGACACAATCAGCAAGTTGCAGTATCTTGGCCATGTGGCTGCCCCAACATCTGGTTGTCTGCCGCCATCTCACGCTCGCCCTGGAAGACTTTGATGCCCACCTGTCACCATGCTCGGGGCTTTGCAATACGGGCCGGAGCTCTCTTAAACACTCGCACGATGCCGGTGAGGCTGCAAGGGGTCGACGGCCGTGTTAAGACAGGGACAAAAAATTCGGATTCGTGCAGCCTGCCCCTTTGTTATCTTATCGCAAAAGGCTTAACCAGCCTAACCCAAACCACAACGATATCAGCCGCCCCATCTTCAACCTCACGTCACCCAATCACCTCGGTGAATGCCGCCTGCCGGTCGGTGAGCGGCTGAAGTAGATAAGTAGGTGCAACCACTGAAATTCAATGTACCCTTTGAGCTCCTCAAACGAACAGGGCCCCAACCGAACGGAAAGACCAAAGCTTGTTGCCTCGGTTAGGCAACCGCAAACTCCATTTTCACTGTGAAAGCTCCGCATCTCGGATGTGACAGCGGTCGTGTCACGCGTGCCGGCGCCATGGATCCGGGACATACTGTGGTCCCGACGTGTTGCTGTAGAAAGAAGTGGGCGGCTGCTGAGGCTGCCTGAATGAACGTCCACAGCCACTGACGAAGCAGAGAACCAGGATTCCTATGATCGGCGTGCCGAGGAAAAGGTAGAAGTTGGTCCAGACAGTAGCTACATCATGGGCCAAGTCCTTGTTGTACCAATCTTCGAAAACCTGATTTTGCATACTTTGCGACATCCTGGTTCCTGTGCTGGATCGCGACAAGCATTGCCTGGGTTTGTTGAGAAACGAAGTTTAAGCTACGGTTTAAGTTACAGTAGGGGTCTATAGTAGGTAAGATGGTTTCCTTAATATGGCATCTTGCTTATATTCAGTTCCTTAACAATGAGCCCAGCTGCAGCAAGTGCTTTCGAGAGTTGGCTTTGTGAACCATTGGAACGCGGGTGAACAGGCAGACATACCGGCAGTTCTTCTCGGCAGCTTGATTCTCCTTCAAGGCGCAGCGCGTAGCTTCGTCCGAGTGGACCTTCATCCCCCCAGGCATTTACAACCGTAATGATAGTTATCATAATGCTGATAGTCATCATAAAACTGATAACAAGAACATAACACCACAGAAAACACTAATGATGATGATGATGACGACGACGATAATGATAATAACAGTGACGATAATGGCTAAATGGCCAAAAATGATGCGACCTTCCAAAGCTCGATGTTCTTCTGCTTGATGTGCACGAATCCCTCGTCCAGGACAGACTCCAGGCTTCTCAGGGCGCCGCGGTGTGCATCGGTATCTTGGAGCTCACGACCCTGCTCCTGGGTTCCCTAAACCCTAAACCCTAAACCCTAGTTCTTGTTAAGGAAGGTATTGTAAGCTACCATGATAAGGAAGCCATGTTACTTATTATGTAGTTGTTGTTTACTACAGATCCCTATTCTGGTAACTTAAACGGAGTTCCTCAAAAAAGAACCCAGGGCTCATCCAACATCTCCCGAATGCTTGCCGCCAGCTGCCGGTGCTCCGCGGCGAGGTCCGACTCCGAGGAGGGCATCGCTAAGTTGGTCTTGCCTTCGCCGCTAGGGGCTTAGGGTTTAGGTAAACCCTTTTGCAACCTAAACCCTAAACCCTAAACCCTAAACCCTAAACCCTAGGGGCCTAGGGTTTGGGGCTTAGGGTTTAGGTGTTGAAGACATGCATCGAGGTTTTTCCCGCTTCGGACACCGTGGGTTCGATGACTTGTGTTCGGTTTAGGGTTTAGGGTTTAGGGTTTAGGGTTTAGGGTTTAGGGTTTAGGGTTTAGGGTACATGAAGTGTACACAAGGAGCTCAAGTCGCCAAGTTGCGGGTCTTGTAGGAGCTGATGCAGCGCTCCAGGGCCGCCCGGAAGTGTGCACTGAGCCTCTGGTCGTTGGCTGCGGTGAAGCGGGTCATCCGGTTTTCGTAGGTCTCTGTCTGTACCAGAGCCTTGTGGGTTTTGTGATGGCTGAGAAGCTTCATCCATTTGTGTCCGGCCAGTTTGTCATCAAAGGCCTGCCAGCAGCGCGATTGCACTATGGACTGCAGCTCCTTAAGCTGCGACTTGCCCAACAGCTTGTTGCCGACCAGCTTCAGCTCACGGTCAACTGCCTCATCAGCAGCCGCCACAGCTGCTTTGAAATGCTGCAAGATTTCCCGCTCGTTCTCCAGCTCACGAGCACCCAGCATTGTGTGCAAGTCTACACTAAGCTGGCTCGCCGGGTCCTGCGCAAAGGCCGGCATAGAGGCTGCCTTGCCGTGAACAGGATTTTGCCCCCGCGCTGCGAAGACCTGAAGCTTCGTACTGAAACCAGCCACCGTCTTCCGGATACCCTCCTCCCCTGTCTTCCGAAAGAGATCCGGATCAAAAGGAAGCTCACGCTCCGTTAGGGACCGGCCGAAGGATTCCTTTTCCTTGACTATGGCCTCGTTGGTCCATCGCTGTACTCGCTCGTGGTATAGGAGGAGCTTGTGCTGAAAATGCACTGCCATTCGTTTTCGGAGCTCAGGAATGTCCGGGCTTACATCGAAGTCTCGCAGGAGCTCCATGTAGAACTGAACTGACCGGGTCCGTGCCTCCTCCACCTGCGGCTTGCTCGCTCTTCAGGGCTCCTCTTCCGGGGTTTTCTCCTTGGGGGAATCCTGATTCTGAAACTAAGGTGTTTGGGGCCGGCGTTTAGGCTCCTAGAGTCGGGAAGACTCGCACCTTGTCGTTGAAGTCTCGCAGTGGGATAGGGTCTTCGCTCTGGTCGATGCTGGACATGAGCGAGGAAAACCAAGTATCCGCATCCTGCAAAGACATCTCTGCAACCTGCCTGGGCTCTGGGAACAGATTGAATTGCGGGAATTTCTGTACGGGTTTGTTAAGTCAGAACAGCTTCTTTGGTGTTCTACATTCTACAGGCGCCTCATAAGCAGCATCAACATGCACAAGGAAAGCTTTGCGTTCCACACCCCCTCCCTCTTAACCAGTTGCTGTGTCCAAGTCGTCCAGAGGGATGGCAACTCGTGGAACATGCCGCGCTGCAGACCCTGCACAATGAAGCGCAGCGACCGTTCCAAGGTGCGGCCCGTCATAGGCTCGCCCTCGAAGGACCGAGCATGCAAGCTCCCCAGGATGTGCGTTTTCAACTCCCCGAGTTCCTTCTTGAATTCGGAGGTGAGCTGGGACCACTGAAGTTTGGATAGATCCTGGAGCTCTGGCTTTGAAGTCGCTGGCAGAAACAGCGTCTTCACCTTCACGTCGCTGTAGAGTTTGGAGAGAATGTGCACTTCTTCTCCTGAGGTATCATTGGCATAAGACAAGTAGGACCTGAGCCAGGCGGTGGCCGGATCGGAAGCGTAGGCATGCGCCTCCGGGAACTCCTGCACGAAGTCCTCTACCACCCATGTCAAGGGAGGGAAGCTTCTCACGCTGAGGAATTCGGGCGTGTCGAGATTCGCTGGTTCGGTCGATGTTCGGGTTCGAAACAGCTGTGCACGACGGGCAAGCATCTCGAGGAGGTTCACTGCCTGCTGGTCGATGATCTTCACGGTATTGTAGACCAGGTGCCCACCGAGCAGCGTTGCTATCGTAAAGATCTTGGCGTCGTAGCTTTCAGCCACACCTGGGCCGAAAAAGCCTTCGGAGTCCATGAGCCACACCTCCGACCCGTCATGCGCTTTCCATTCTGTGCGACACATCCAGATGCCCATTGTCTCTGGGGATGTCTTTCGACCGATGGAAAAGACCTGGGTGTCACCCAACAGCGCATTCAGCAAGAAGCTCTTCCCGGAGTGGAAAGGGCCGACGACTGACACGATGGAAATGCTGCTCGGATGCTGTGCTAGCCTTGCCAACCCCTCTGGGACAGGCAGCATTGAAGAATGATTCGCAGTCGGCCTCACCACTTGGAAGGGAACTTTGAAAGGGACCTCTGATGCGCATAGCCGTACCAGCAACAAGGCTGACAGCCATCGACCTCTCTGCAACGCCATCTTGTCGGCACGAAGGCAGTCCTGCCTAAAATGCAAGTTTTGAAAACTGCATCACTTGCCTTACAACATTGGCTTACCATGGTACTGCCCACATGCCATGTCATTTCTACGCTTTGTCTGCTTCATCCGAGTTGGGGCCCTGGCTTCTCGGGCGCTGCTCACTAGTTTGCGGAGGGTTTGGCAGACATCACTTCAACCAGACTGGCCCTATACACTTCCGAAATTCGCCCACTTGCTGCGATTGTGACAACTGCTTGGTCAGCGAGTTCCCGGGCGGGCTCGCCAGGAAAAAGCCCGATCCCACGTTCTTCGAGAGGGGCCGGGGAGCCTGTGTCTGGTTGTCAGCGGCGGTGGAAAAGACCTGCGACTTCTTCGTCGGGATCGTCCTGAGCGGATTCAGATGTTCTCGGTTGGCTTGTAACAGAGGAGCTGTTGGTGGAAACGTCCTGGGCCTGAGCCTGCACCATGCTCGTCGTAGCATGGCAGCCTGATCCCTAAACCTGCGCTCAAGTCCTCTCCTTCTGAGGACCCGGCGTATTCCTGGTGATAAGACGGGTGAAGACCCCTCCCAGGGTCTCGATGCCCAGGGACAGAGGCGTCACGTCCTTAACCACTTTGGATTCTTCGATATGCTTAAGAACCCTTTTAGGATCCGGCCCACAAACATCCCAAACTTCAGGCTGAGATCATCCCCACCGAAGATCCTGGCGACTGCCCCAGTGCCACCACCCCCTTCCTGTGCTCTGCGGTGCTTCCGTGCTATCGCCGGCAGAAACTATGAAAAAACCAAAACCCCAGCTAAAAAGGACCCTTCTTTACCAACGATGCCTGAATAAAGAGGCGCGCCACACTTACAGGAAATCCAAGCCATACAGCAAAGTCCGGCGCGGCTGGGCCCCCGAGCCAACAAAAGCACATCCTTCACGTCGCCCTTCAAGACACCAGCCTGCACAAGCATGCCCATAGGGTTTAGGGTTGAGGGATCCAACAGATAGAGATAGAAAGCCAAGTAAACTCAGCCTATCCCACCCGGCACCCCCCCGAAGCACCCCCCTTCTGGCCTGGATGGCCGCACCCATGGCAACTGCCTCGTCGGGGTTCACTGCCTTCGAAGGATCCTTTCCTCGGCCACTCTCCACCTAATTAACGGTTTTGGGGTTTGCAGCTTGGGGCCCTAAACCCTAAACCCATGTCCGTTTGTTAACGGTTTGTCCCGGCCTGCACCTGTAGAATCAAGCCCCGTGCATCCTCCGCCCTGGGTTCCTACCTTCGGGCCCGCCGCCCGCGACACAAGGCTTCTGCATCAGCATGGGCGGCCTTGTCTCCAATTTTTTTCCGTGCAAGGGTTTTTGCAGTTCCGCGCCAGGTGTCGGCGGCACAATATACTATCTCTGAATTCTTCTGGCCTGAGGGGAGCAACCTTTGATATGTACAACCCTATACTCTAAAATTTCGCGAGCCTGGTCCTTCTCGGGTGTGTCTTAGAGCTGCGCTCCATGGGTAATTGGTCTACAGGGTTGTTTGCTCTCCTCAGGCGTGTCCCAAAAGCAGGTTTTGCGCGATCGACACAAGGCTTCTGTATCAGCATGGGCGGCCATGTCTCCAATTGTTTTCCGTGCAAGGGTTTCTGCAGCTGCAGTTCCGCGCCATGTTTCCGCAGAGAAGGTATACTCTGAATTCTTCTGACCTGAGGGGAACTGTCGATAATGTAACGTATATGTGTATGTATATGCATACATATACATAGACATATACATA